GCTGCTGGGTAGCAGAGCTCTTGTTTTTTAAAGCAAATTGTCTCACGATAATAACCAGCCTGCTGGGCTGAATCGCTATATCGAGGACTGAATAATACCCCACTGTTGTACATATGTATTTTTTTCCATGAGACAGTCTGAAAGTAATGCATGGCAGGCTTGCAGTTTTGTGCCTGACTTGAAAAATGCAGAGACGGCAGAGACGGCTGCTATGGTGGCAGGGCTCGTAGTGTCGGAAACTGGGAGGCGTCCGTCAGCGTGGAAACTCCAGTGAACTGCGCGGAGGCTGGGGTGGGAACAGCGGCGTTGCTAGGAGCACGGCAGCAGGCATCTGGAGAGAGCCGCCCAGGCGCAGGCACAGGGGAGGAGAGCTATGTGCAGTGAACGACTCGGGGAAATTAACATTTCTGAAAATTAATTTAAATATAATGCAGGCATTAGCATTTCACCTGGTCAAGCTCCATTAGACAGGCTTGCTGGGAACCTAATGAATCCTTAATAAAGATTAAATCGCATGTTCATTAGATTTTGATGAAAGAGACTGCTATTTTATTTTTTTTTAATACTGTGGTATTAGTGTGCTTCTAGATAATAAATCTCATCTTCATGAATGGCTATAGCGGTTTCACACGTGGATGTTGCCTTGAAAAGCAGCACAGGAATCTGTAGACAGATAATAAAATGCTAAGACAAAGGAATACAGAGCAGGCATTGTTAATGGAGGACTAAAAGGTTCCAGGACCTAAAAGGCTTACCCGGACAGTGTCCAGGTAAATCTTGAAATATGAGGTAGAAGAAGTGACAGGTAGAAATTACAGTAATTTGAAAGTGTGGCCAGGATGGGAGTTGGGATTTATAAAATTAATTAAGGATGTTTTACTGAAAAATTTGGAGATATCTTTTAGCTGATGAGCGGGAAGTTATCCAGCAAAGAAAGGTACTGGTGAATGGCAGACGTGTGGAACTGGAGGTTAGCACGCACGCCTCAAACCGTGCCAACACAGGCCTAGGAATAACTCTTCCCGTTGCACTCAAGGGCACTCGGTCACAGGCTCCCTCAACCCTTGCGCTTTGATCTACGCCCATCTTGGCTGGCTACATTTGCTTGTTATTCTTTCACAGACAAGGATGCAAAGTCCTGCACATTACTTTCACCCATATCTCAAAATGCAGAGTTAGGGCCATGCCAGTTTGGGAACAATCCCGAAAGGTGCGACTGGGCCATGCAGGCTCGAGTGACTATAGAGCTCACCACAACGTTCAGAATCAGGCTGTGACATGATCCTGTTTTCACTCAGCTTAAACTAAAAAAACAGCCTTAACCAAGCAAAACTGGGGCCTCCTATGAAGACCCAAGCCACAGGGAAGAGAGTAACTGTATTAGAGAAATTTGTCTTCCACTCCCACCACCCCACTTCAGTAAATTCTCTTTAATGTTAGGTCTGCAATGAATGTTATCATTTTTTATATCTTATGTCTTGAAATAGATATGGAGGAT